CTCTCTCTCTCTCTCTCTCTCTCTCTCTCTCTCTCTCTCTCTCTCTCCCTCCCATTCCCCTCCCACACATACAATTTTACATCCAGGAAAAGTGAGGCTCAGATGCCTGAGGCCACCGGCCCAGTGAAAAACCGAGCCCACATTTCCTGACTCGAGACTCCTTTCTCAAAAACCTTATATATGGCTTGGCTATTCTGAGCTTAACCACTTCCTGGACTGTGTACATTGGTTTTTTTGTCCCAAACAGCAGAGATTTATGGCAGGCAACGGGAACAAATTCCCAAAATAACTTCTTGGCACAGGCTAAAGAAGTGGCCATGAAAGACAAAGTCCCTTTGACCCCTTCCCTGCACCCCGCCAGAGTCTTGGCTGTATGCATTGAAAAGGCCCCATTTCCTAACAAGGTAGACTGGTTGTCAGCAGGAAGGGGTCACATTTGAGCAGTCATGCCATTTGGCTCGTGCTTTGCCACGTCTCAGTGAGCCAGGTGCACGTTGGCACAGTCAAAACAGGATTTCCATTCTTGTGTCTATTGGTTCTGACCAATGCTTTGTGCATTTGTGAGGGGTTGGGGGAGCGGACAAATGCTGAAAAAATTCAGTACAGTTTCACAAGCATTCATTAAGTATCTCATCTTTGCAAGGCACTATGGTAGGTGCTGTGGATACAAAGACATGAGCAGAAGAGGCAGATAAGAGTGAGATAATTGGAGAAGGGTGGGAGCACCAATAGCTGCAGTGGGAGGGAGGAGGAGATGGGGCAGGGCTTACTATTAGACCAGGTGACAGTGAGCTCTGCTTTGAAGGAAGGTTGCTAAGGGAGACAACAGTACAATGGAAAGATAACTAGACTTAGCCTCAAGCAAGATCCAGGTTCAAATCCTGCCTCCGATACCCCTTGGCTATGCCACCCTGGGCAAGTTATTTCACCTCTGTGAACCTATGCTTGCTTATCCATAAAATGAGGATAATAACACCTATGGGTATTTCCTTAGATAAATAACTGAAGAAAATTATTCTCAGAAAACTAATTCTAGGCAGCATGATATCTACGGATATTTTTCTTTGTTGCCAAATCATTTTAGGAACAAGGATTTCACTGGAATTAGGGAACTTCCAGGTAGGGAAACTCCCTCTACCAATGCAAGTCTGAACTTTCTCTGCAACACAGAATCTTAGAGAGTGCCTAGAGCACAGAGAGGAGAAGTGACTTGCCTAGGGTCACACAGCTTTTACAAGTCAGAGGTTAGCCTTGAGCCTAGGTCTTTCTAGCTGACTCTCCATCTAATACACCATGCTGCCTCTTGGTCTATTTTTAGAATATCAACGTCTGGGTTCATCAAACTTCCTTTTCAATCACTGAGAACCTTTCTCTTGGCTTCACTGCTTCTAGGAGATTGTTATTAAAATGAGAACATTTTTCCTCCTGTATAGTAATCACACACCCTCTGCTGGACGTGTTTGTCACCAGAGGGCACCATGTCGTTTAAGATTGCTTTATGGGCAATCATGAAAAAAGCCTCTCTCAGGCTGGAGTCCCAAATTAGCAAGTTGGAGCCTATGAAGGACACTGGTCTTAGCTCAGCATAGGCCCTCACCTTATCTCTCCTTGCTACCAGTGAACCATTACAATGCCCAGAAGTGCCAAAGGCTGTCTGAGACATAGGTAGCAAGGAAGGAATAAAGAGAAAGGAAAAGAAAAGGAGTAAGAGAAAGGAAGGGAGCGGTGAAAAATACATAGGGAGAAGAGAGATAGTATGCCCCAGCCTGAGGACACAGGTTATGAGTCAGCATGAGGTATTTATCACTGAATGACTTACTGCAAAATGAAGATAACAAAGGCACCAGCACTTCCATCCCAGAATTATTGTGAGGGTCAAATAAAATAATATTTGCAAAATTTTTTGAAAACCTCTAAGTGTTATATAAATGATAACTATTCTATTCTATTCTATTCTTGGGATGGGGAATTTTTAACCCTGAAGAAGACAGTAATTTCCCTGGGGGAGAAGGAAAGAAAAGGACAGTTGTTGGAGGACAGGAGGACATACAGTCCTATCTGTCCTGGTTGTTAGGTTGGGTAGACTGGTGCCCAGCAAGCCTGATCAGAAGAAAGAAACTAGGTGGGCCAGCTCTCTGAGCAGATACAATGAGCTGATATATATCATTGGTTTCCTTTGTAATCTTAAATGTTTCACTTTATGCATCATTCTCAGACGGGATCTATCAGCTTTACCAGACTGCCAAAGGGGTACATGATGCAAGAAAAGATTAAGAACTCCTGCTGACTCTGACACTTCCTCTTTACAGATGAGGAATGTGAAATCCGGAGAAACTAACTGTTTTGACCAAGATCACACAGGAGGTTAGTTGGACCAGATTTCTTTGTGCCAAAGAGTGCTTTCTACTATACTATGTGCCGGAGCAACCTCCAAACAGCTCATGAGACTTAATTGTTAAATATTAAGTGTGAATGTTTACACCTCAATCAGTAAACTACAAATCGAGGCTTGAATTGCTATCTTGTTGGTTATCTAGATTTAAGAAAGTGATGGAGAAAATGGCAATAATACAGATCACATTAAAAAGCATGTCCTATGTATGTATTTTTTTCCAGAAAGCTGGTTGTTAAATGTTTGCCAGTACATCTTTGACTGTACCTCATTGTATTCATGAGCAGTCACTGTCAGAGGGGCCTGTCGGAGATAAGGAAGATAAAGCATGACTTCCTAGAAAGATCTAACGTCCTATTCCTCTGGGTGATGCATGGGCATGAACTCTTACAGGAGCACCAGGCCTCTGTATAAAGAAAAAAATATCCGCAGTGAATGTGGCTGGACCATTTCAGGGGTCTGGACCTCAAAACTGTACAGGAGGTGTAGTTCACAAGAGGCTCTCATGAAGCACCCACCTCTCGCCTACCACTCCATCTGTCCAATTTAGAGAAAGTGGATCAGCACCTTTTAGTGGACTTAGAACAGTGTCTGTCATATAGTAGGTGCTTAATAAATGCTTCATTAACTCAAAAGTTCTAGTAATTTTTTTTTTTATTTCTTTGCTCTAAGAAGTTGCAAAAACAAATAACTAACTCTCTTCTAACTCTAAGCTCCCAGCCAGAGATTTCACTCTGGCAATATACTTTCATTTAAAATCTTTCTTTCCCTTCTCGGGCATTCCCAATCATCTGTCTCAATACTCTATTCAGACAATGAAACATATATTTTAGCAATAGAGATGGCAAACAGCTTGTCACATTTGGTGCTTAAGAGACAAAATAAACAGTTAAACAGAAAAGGGGGAACACATTTTCAAAAAAAAAAAGGTGGGAATGGGA